GTTACTTCTGCTACTGCCGTTACTACTGCTGCTACTACTACTGCTACTCCTAGTACTACTACTGCTACTCCTAGTACTAGTACTACTACTACTACTACTACTACTACTAGTACTAGTACTAGTACTAGTACCACCACCACCACCACCACCACTACTACCACTAGCACAGCCACCATCACTACCGCTTCCACCAAGAACACGGTGGAACACCACTAATCGCACTGCCGGCGCTGGTGCTACTGCTGCTGTTGATGGCGCTGTTGCTACGGAGGCGACGACAACGACAACGACCATTGAGTCAATTCTACGATGATACATCAAGCGTCCCAGGAAAAAGCGAGCCCCCGTGGTCGGAATGCTTGCAACCATGTGCAGCACTGGAAGTGGCACAGGAAGCAATTCTAGGAATCACTGGGACCGGCTGTTACTGAATCGGTTGTTTTTCGCTGAACTTCTCGTCGCTCTCAGCCAGGCGTCTGCTCGAGTGCCTGCTGTGCAGCCACCTGCTCGTCCGTGGCCAACTCGAGTGTCGTCGTGGTGCTGGTAGTGGAAGGCCTGGCTAAGAGGCTGAAGGCCTCCTAAAAACTGAGCGAAGGCTGGCCCCAGTTTTGAGATCTTCACGGCTTGTGATTTCACGCGGTTCAAAAAGCAGGTTTGAGTAGGTCCTCAAGACCTCAAGTTCAAAGGCGCACAATGGCAGGTGCACGAAAGGAACTGATCAAGCATGCCCACTAGGCACCTCCAAAACAGTTCCGGGCCAGTGTGGCCCACAATCCGTCCACAAGATTCCTTCAAGCCGAGCCAGGGGCAGGGAAGGGGTTCAAAATGGTTTAGCCTGAAGTAGGTGCCGTCAAAGCTTGTGCCGTGCTGAGGCTTTGCAGATTCTGTGGCTGATCGTTTGGCTAGAACTACAGATTTTATGAATAAACATGGCCAGGCATCGTAGAAGGATTCGGAAGCCGTGAAATTGTGAAGGCCATATTTACAGACAGTTCCACTGTACTGGTCGACGGATCCGGCCAGTACATCCATGACATGCAGGTAAACTTTGATCTGCGAATGGGTGTCGTAGTGCATCATGTCCTTGGAGTAGAGACTTTTGGCCGTGCACTGGAATCCGGGAGCTGCAATGACGTAGGTGTCATAGACCTTGTCTTCGTTCTTCTTGAGCCACATGCTCGCCAAGGCAGCATGTGAACCGCCCAGACCCATTCCAGCAAGGTATACGGTTTTCACGAATTGCTGGCCTTCTGCCAAGACTGTCCGCACCAGGTTCTTGATCAAAGGCCAGAGACCTTCGGTGTCCAGGTAGCTCTGGGCAATCCCTGATCCGACGCTGACCGTTTCTGCATCCACGAAGGGAGAATATGCTTCGTTGAGGAACGCACAACGGATGGGAAACTCGTGCGCCTGATCTGCTTTCCTCGGCTGGGGCTTGGGATTCGTACTGCCGCTAGTACCGGCAGAGGCAGAAGTAGCAGCACGAGCTGCTTGTTTTCGAAAGTGCTCTAGTGCCATGTCTGTACCGTCTTTCGACAATAGCTGCTGCTTTTCGCTCAAGGCACCTCCAAGTGATGTTCGTTGAGGCGGCCTGCTGGGCGCTGATGAGCCACTGCTCTCGCAGAGAGTCCCTGGGCTTCTGAACTCGAAATTAGGTGCACAGACCAGAGTTTCAAGAAAGCGACGACATCTTGCTTTCTTTCTTTCTTTCTTTCTTTCGCCAAGGCTGTGGCGAGGGGATTGTGGCCCCTTGCTTTTCTTTCTCTCTCGCTCTCTCTTTCTTTCCACAGGGTTGTGGTGCAGGGGAGCAAGCCCCCCTACACCGCGCGCAAGTGCGCCCCCGCCATTTGCGGGTGCCAATAGCGAAAGAAGCAAAAGAGGGAAAGTGCAAGCAAATGGATTGAAGGGGCAACTCTCTCTCTCTCTCTCTGTGAA